TTGGAAAAGGGGAGAGGTTTTTTTTGTTGGAAAACTCATCCTCAGAAGTGAGTAAATTAATTTATGGCATGACGAGTTGTTTGATGGGTAATAAAGTCTGACGAAAAGAGTCACTTTTGTTTGGAATGTTTGAGAAAGTCGCAGTGAGTGCAGGGCAAGAGATGTCTTAGAATGGGTGGCTGCTGGCTCTGATCAAGTCAGGAGTCACGGCCTGGTGGACCTAGCGGTGATTTTGTTTGTGAGCGTGCGAAGGAKGCCAAGCCTATTGTGGAAGGGCTGGTAACTGCCTTCAGACCCCTGCGTGATCACGCAGTGGGCCAGTGATTTTGTTTTGCGACGCCCCGCCTAACCTCCTGTGCTAGTTCTGGGACATATTGAAGGAAGGCCAAGCTAACGGAAATGAAGTTAGTACCTCTAGGGCGTAACCCCATTGGATGGCTGCTAGCCGGCGCAACCTGGCTGCGGGACCGCGGGGTAAGAGTTTAAAGGGGGTTGCCCGCCCCAGTGAAATTACTCCGCGGGATGATGATGGTTGAAAACTTTTGGGGGAAATCCTGATTGAGTGCTTACCAGGAAGTAACCTATCGTTGCGTAACCAACGAAGGTACTGCCGTTAAATAACAATGCGGTGGGTCGTGGCCCTGGTCCGATCAGCCAGGCTATGGTGGGYCAAGGTGGAGACCTAGCCTTTCTGTACTAGACTGCAGAAAGAGCTGAGCGAATATTAAGTATACATATATACTTGCGTGTATTCGATTGCGAGAAGTTTTTGAGAAGGAAGGCGAGAGTGCCTTCAAAAGGTCTCAATTAAGGCCCGCGTCCCTAGTTTTTRCCAGGACTAGGGACACCCAACGAAAAGCCGAAGGTTGTCTAGGACCGGGGAGAGGACGATTGGGAAGGTCTTTGGAACTTATGCTGCCAGTATCCTAATTTCTGGACGGTGTGAGGCCCAGATTAGAAACCTGGAAGCATATAGTTGTGAAGGCATGGTTTGATGGAGGCCTCTACCCTGTGTTTGTCGGCTAATCGGATTGGCTTCTGTTTCGTCAACGTTTGGAATGTGGATGGATTTATAGCTTTTTGATTTGGCGAAGCGACGGAGACGTCGCTTAATATGGTCCGGTAAGTTGTCGGTGCGAATACCCTTACAAGGGTATCCGCCCTGGTTTTTGCAAGTGACAGAAAATAGTTTTAATCTATAGTTTAGGTATACTGCGCTAGGCGCGGCTGCGTYTGTATTTTACGTTGATAGGGTAGTTGACTATAATAGAGAGTGTGTGGGCGCRCGGATTTTAAGGCGYGCGTGATCTYTTTATTTGTTGATGATTGAAGGAACGGCGTGATCGCCGGCCAGAATTTGTTTCTTCTGATTAAACAGGTTGGTGCATTTACCTTGACTTGCGCACGCATACGGAGGACGACGTCAACGGCGGCATGATCCGGTATAGCCGCGCGGGGGTGTGATGTATTTACAAGGTGGCCGGGAGCGTGGCCATGGGCTAGTCTCGTGAGCACGCCGAAGCTATTCCGTTTGAGCGTTTCGGGGCCTACGTAGTAGCCACACCCGTGCTCAAGCCTCCCATGAGGGAGCATGCGGAAACTCCTCCCACCTGTAGGGGCGATATCCGCTATAGCGGGTGGTACCGGCCAGGGGTTAGCCGGTTGCATCAGGACCAAGCTTCTCGGAGGCGGTCGTGGGCAGGCCACTACGGCCAGCCTATTGCGAAGCCCTTCCTCACCGCAGTGGCACATCAGGCCGCGCCGCAGCCCGCTGGTAGTAGGTAGACGCCCATCGGGGGACCAGCTAGCAATCGGAAGCAGGGTCGAGCAGCGTTGCGGAGCAGCGGATTGACAAGTCGGGGCAGAAAGGAAGACCGCTGTGCTAAGGCGCTCGCTGGCCGATGGTGAAAACAAAAGGGAGTGGGGGCGTACGAGGGTTGTCAAGTGAGAGCAAAGAAAATGGTTGAATCCGGGCGCTAAATCGCGCCGGATGCATGCGGGGAGTAGGAAAGAAGTGAAGAGGAGAAAACTTACCACRTCGGCCGATGGCTCGCCCCACTAAAAGTACTTCTTCGGGAAAGTCGAGGCTGGTCGGACGGCTGTGTGGCGCAGCGATAGAGACCGGTAGCACTTGAGTGCAGCCTGAGCGCCGAAGAGACGAGCGAGAAGGATACTGAGGCGGGCTAGGAAAGAAAAGGAAAGGAACGAACCCGGGCGGGAAGATGCGCCGGGTGCATGTGAAGAGGCGGGCTATGGCTGAGAGGGGGAGAGGGCCAGCTCGCTCGATTCCCCATAGTTTCCGATGGGGGAAGAGTCGATCCCGGCCGGGGTTTTTGCCCCGGGCGAGCGCAGTGATGAGGTTAGTTTTGGAAGAAGGTTAGTGTAGGAGGGGGTAAGAGAGAAATGAAGTACGCGGGATATGGCGGGAGAAGAAGTACGGGTACAAAAGTTCATCTCACCCGTTTCTCGATGAGAACGGGCGAGTGAAGACTCGCTCTGGGGTTTTTAGACATTGCGAACACGATAGTGGAGTCAGAAGGGAGGAAAAACTAATGTAAAAGGGAGTTMATAGGAAAAACYGCGCGCGGAGAGTGTCGGGGAGGAAGACGAACGAGAGTGAAGTTGCACTAACTCGCTCGTTTTCCGACCGATTTTTACGAACTAAGATACTAGACTCRGTTTTTTAGGCCGGGCGAAYACGTGGGTGAAGTCAGAATAGTGGGAGGATTAATGGATTTGAAGTTAGAAAGAGAAGTGGTAGCGCGGAGCTATGGCGGGCGAACCAGTGAAGGAGAAGAGGAAKGGAAAAGGTTATATCTCAACCGTTTTTGACAAAATTGGGCAAAGTAAAACTGTAGGTTGGGGTTTTTGGGTGCTGCGAGACGAACGGTGATGTTAGTTTTGCGGATAAAGGAGCGGATCAACTGGTACAGAGAAAAAGGGCTGCCAGAGAGTGTCGAAGAGGGGAATATGACGAATTTGAAGGTATTCGTTTTAACAAACTCCTAGCAAAGATTAGGCAAGAAGGAGGAGAGATGCGGAGCGGGGGTTCTGGGAAGTTGCCAGCTTGATGGCAGGCTCGGATCCCGCAGTGAAGATGTAGTTTCTGTGTTGTGTCAGGTAGCGGCTGCGCGAATATTGAAGGGCGCTTGGAAAGCTGAATGTATCTTTCCGTATTCTAGCGGAAGATTCATCCGGATTTTGCTAATCCTATCAATGGAAAAGGCCACTCTGTAACTCTCTACAAGCATGATCGAAAGCGATGTATATTTTCGCTTTTAACGGAAAGATTCATTCTCATATTACAGCTTCGAGAGGAGGGGCTACGAGGCTCGTAGTCGCTTCCGATTGTAGTGCTCGGGACACGCAAGTGGTCTTCATCTTCATACCGACCATCTCACCATTGATCATCTTCGTCTCACCGCCTGTCAATTGTCCATCCGACGGCCCTCTTCCTGTTTGCGGTCAGCCCGCCTTTCTTGAGTCTGCCAGGTGTACGGGAGCCTGGCCGGGTGGCCTACCAAGTGAAGAGAAGAAGGGAGAGACGCCCCCCACCTGTCCCCCTGTGGGAAAGGCAGTAGGAAGATGTGTGTTGCCCATGTGATCCCGTCAGGGTGCATGAGGGGCTGCGCTGTGCTCCTCATTATGTTGCCCATGGACGGAGCATCATTCGTGACCTACTGTGCGAGTTGCAGTTGGACCAACTTCGACTGAATCTGGCCGTATCAGTGACCAGATTCGCCGATGTAATCGGAGTCGTAGTGAGGTCTGGATCGGGAGCAGGGTAGTAAGAGGGTCGGGGCGAAGGTGAGGACTACTCGAGAGGAGAACGTAGAAAACCAGCGGGAGACCAGGGGAGAAAAAACCATACGTTCCTGAGCAGTTTGCAAAGCTAGCGATGCTTGCCGAATAACTAAGTGCTGAGGCTATTGCTTTCTAAGTGACCATCCGCGCGGCCGTGTGAGTGATCATGCGGGTTGCTGTTCACTATGCGCGAAGAGCCTTATTGCAGCGATTGCGGTGGTTACTACGGGTACTCCATGCCGTCGGCTTGGCCGAGGAAGCTTGGGCCTTGCCGCTAGGTGGGGAGACCGAGACTACGGGAAGAGGCTGCTCTGCTGCTGTGTGAACTGTTGGTGGCCCCAACTGTGCTCCTAYTGAAGCAGCCGCGGGGCTTGATACGGGCTGCCAGGGCTGCTGAGCGACGTTACGCTG